CGCGCAATGACCTTAACCTCTAGAGCGGACACAAATGCCCGCGTGCCCACTGGTCGCAGTTATCCAAATGGGTCCAATCAGGCTACAGGCATAACAATCAGTTATAAGCAACTGCCACCTCTCAGACAGTGGTGTTGCACACCGGACTGCGAGGACACCGCCAGTCTGTCACACTGCCGGGGCTAGCAGCGAGAAAAGAACATGCTGGAGATCAACCAGGGGCAACTATCACCCGAGACAGCAACTCCGGGTTTTGTACACAATAAACATTCACCCGGGTGAATTCCATTTTTACGCCTTTCTACTGTGTTCTTCAGTGGGAATTCCAACGGATGTTACTAGACGGTGAGACCACTGAAGTCACCGTTATAACACAGCTTACATTCTAGTTTGGGGTAAGCGTTGCTCCCATTGATTTCGAAAAATGCAAGGGTGATAATGTCTTAAACGTGATAAAACGAAGGCTTCAATGCACGATTTAAAGAACTTACTCCGCCGTTAAATTGTTTTACACAAGCACAACAACGGCTATTCCAGTTCGACGAACGAAAGACATTCTGCCTATGCACGTCACATCAAACTGTGTTTACGAGTTTACATGTAGTTGCGGATGCAAATAGATCGGACGCGCGCAAAGGCAGTTGGCAACGTGGTCAGCCGAAGTGGTTGTTCAGGGCGGAACATAAAATACACAAGAATTTCTTCAAGAAGCACATAGTGGACACTGGCCATACGGTCGACCATAAGATTGCATTTAAGGTCGTACTTTGGGTGACGACCGGACGTCTCCTACGATTTGTGGAGGCCGCTGCAATACGGAGAAGAAAGCCAGAACTCTGTAAGTAACTGGATCAAGTGATCAATCTCTCATTGCTGTGGTAACGATCGATGAACACATTCCCTCTCACGCCTCCTCGCTCCCCTTAGGTCTGACTGCTACCCTGTCCTCTGCTCTCCCTCAACCCCTTTCATGTCTCACAGGCTTTCAGGAAAATGTAATTTATATGAACTGCCATGTTGTGACAGCCATCTCCTCCTCTTCTATCCCCTTACCATGCGCCCATACAAAAGATTAATAACTTCTACTCTATTTACCCATCAAGTTTCAACCTTGTAGGTGGCACTTAATTGGACAGTTATTTCTATCTTATTAATAGGCGATGACCGTTTGCAGTTGAATACTAGGTCGCGAAATGATATGACGTCAATAAATTCTGCTAATCTCGTGATCTTCGCCGTCTTCAACTTTTTTCCGGGAAAACAATATATCAATTTAAAAGCAAGATAGATAAAAACTGACAGGAATGAAAACTCCTCTCCACCCCTCTTCCCATCGCATGACGCAACCGATTGATACACTCATTATCGACCTCCTGCTTGAACTAACCTTATTAAGCTCCACCAGCTTTTCAAAATCGTCCTCTTCTAATGTATTCACCTGGACCCCTATATCTGCCTGGTTAGTGAGGAGAGAGAAGGGGAAGGACTCAAAGGGTTCTTCCACCGACCCCTCCTCCCACTCCTCTTCAGGGGCCTCTGGGTGTTCTTCCAGCTGGTTGATTCGCTTCTTACAGTCTATCAGTTCACATTTCAACTTCTGGACGACTTGTTCGTGTTGAGCCTTGAATGAGAAAAGTAGAGGAGCATTTATACTTCCCAAGGCAATAAGAAAAAAAAGGTATTTAGCTTTTTCGGCTGGAGGCAGGAGAAGAGTGGTGTGAAATCGCTTTATACATATTGCATAGAGCTTTAATATCGTTTAACTTTACTTCG